GCCCCCTTTTGCAAACTCATTTATATAGACCTTATTATAAGCACCTACCAAATATGTATATATGTAACTGCATACCAAATTTAAAGTTGATGCGACATATGGTTCCGAAGTTATAGCTGATAAACATTTCAACGAATATGGGATATGCCACACCCCTTTCACAAACTCGTTTATATATACCCTCCTATAAACACCTACCATTGGTATGACTGCATACCAAATTTCAAGAATAACTCGGATATTTAAAACTGTATGTTTTTTTTTTTGAAACCTTGGCGTCTTTAGATTATTTTGAAATGGAAAGATTAAATCGTTTTTTAATCTCGCGATGCTGTTAAACGAAAAAGGTTCGTTCATAATGAATAAAACTCCTTCCGAATTAAGCATTCCACTAGAAAAGTGCAGCTAAATAAAACAGCTAATCGAATAACCAGCTAAACAGAATGTACCGAAGTAGAATAGTTTTAATTTAGAAATTTGGTCGTTGCCTTAATCCATCTAATATTAATAATGGAACAAAATTTGTAGTAGAAGTGATGATCAATATATATTAGTTATAGCACGATAGAGCCAAAAGTATGGCTCCTAAGGATGCCTTAATGTAAACAAAGAAAATAGTTTGTCTCCTTTAAATTATGCTGAACCGAATATTCGTATTACTGTTTTATATTTTGATTTGTTTACCCCGAACGTCGGGTGCTCTGCTAGTAATTTCATAAAATTAAGATATTTTAGAATTTTTGTTATTTTCTAAACCAGCGGGAATATTCAAACTTCCTGTGACTTTCAACTATGTAAATTAGTACAAATTCGAAAATACAACAAAAATGTAAAAATTTAAAATTAAGTTAAGTAATTTGAAAATTTCGAAATTAAGTGGATTCGAGGATTGATAGGTATTTTTCACCAGTGTGTTATAATTATGATACAAATAACATTTTTCAGAAAAATAACGTAATTGATCAATCAATTATGCAGACGCAGATACGGTCAATAATTGCGCAATTTTATAAATGCTCACGATGTTGCAGGAAAAACGCACTTACAGGGCGGCTTAATTCTTTTTTTTCTACAAAAATGTATTTTATCGTTTATTATTATAGAGATCAGGGGCCAAGCAAAGATTACCACAAACTCATGAAACAGAACGAAGAAAAAAAAACTACCATATATTCTTTCAGTTTTCCTAAAAATTACACTGTACAGCGCCCGGCTGTTGGCAAAAAAGTTTGTTATTAAAATTGTTTGCTGAATTTTTCTAATATCTCTACAAAGTTTGAAATTTGGACTTATATTTTTTTGTTAGATTTTTTTTAATAAAAAATAATAAACAGTAAACAAACAATGGAAGAGTCGAAACTGGTCAAAATATCGTGTCCCTATAAATTTGTACATGACTGTATGTGTGTACATATGTACTTTGAAAATAAAATAGACTTTTATGGATCTAAGATCTTATTTTGCATCTCTTATTTTATAAAATCGCTTGTTTAAAGTTAATATTACTAATGTGCTCAAATTCAGAGTGTGCTTTAAGCTCTTTCTTTGATTAACAAACTTCTCCGCATTCTGGTCACACTTCTAGCTAATAACGCTACTTCCGAAAGAAGTTTTTCAGCCCTTCGTCGGTTAAAAACATGGTTGCGTAGTACCATGAATGAATAAAGACTGATAGGTCTAGCACGTTTACACTAACAGTTAGATGTTGAAATTAACACTGAAAGGATAATAGAAGGATTCGCAAAAGGAAAGCGTAACATTGAATTTGCAATTTAAATTATTACAATAACAATTCTCAATAAGTTGTTAAGTTACTTAATTACGTCCTTAATTTTACCAACATTGTAAGCAAGAAATAAGTATTTATATGTATATATTGCATTAATAAACCCAAAGTATAACTTTACATCTTGTGTTTTTTTTTAATAGTACATGCAATTGCTTTATTAGACCTTGCACCAAATTCACAAAATGAAAAGTAATTATATCACAAAATACTTTACTTCACACTTCATAAAAAATACTCGAACCTATATTTGGCCGAAAAATAAATTAGGGTGAGATGCCTGTAATTTAACGTTATTTGACAAGTTGATCCCAATCGAAACCTGTGATAAGTTTTTCCAACCCAAAATTTTAATAAAATGGTATGATTTCAAAGGAGTTGTGGCGGGGTCAAAACTTAGGTTCAATTCTTCGCACGGATAATCTTATACTGAACATAAACACAATTAAAAAACATCTCCATAAAAATTGGAAAGTTGATTCTTTAAGGGACACTCTAATGTATTTGTGTGTAAATGCACCTCAACAACAACATAACAACATTCCTAATATAAACAATTGGCGCATTGCAATTGCTTCAATTATGCACTACGCGGCTATTTGATTGAGCAATCAGAGCTCTAGCAAAATAATTCAGCCACACACCCTCTCAGCCTCTCTCAAGTGCTGCCCTACAGATGAATGCGCGCTCACAACAATCAATTGTAATGAACTTTAAAATAATTAAAGTGCCCAAGCAATCGATAATTTGTAGTCAAAAGCACTTACAGTTCAATGCAGCGGTCTACGTTGACCGTGGCCTTGAAGCCCAGAATGGCGAAGATCACGACGCTGGCATATATAGCGGTGATTGCATTGCAAACTGACACCAAAAGGACATCACGAACGCAGTTATTTTTGGGCGTATTATAACTTCCAAATGCTATTAGGGATCCAAAAGCCAAACCAAATGAGTAGAAAACTTGTGTGGCAGCGTCTAGCCACACAGTCGGATCGGCGAGTTTCTCAACTTTTGGTGTATACATATGCATTAGTCCAGCACTAGCACCTCTCAGCGTGATTCCGCGAATGAAAAAAATTGTCAATACAATGTAGGGGAAAAGCGATGTGAAGTATACCACCCTACCGGAACTTTGAATGCCTTTCATAACAATAAAGAATACGATTGTCCAAGAAAGGAACAAACACAGCACAATCCACCACTTAAGACCACCTGGTTCATCCATAGAAGGAGCAGCATCCAATGTAGTTCGATACCAAAAGTAGGCAGTTTCTGAAGAACGTGCGCATTCCTCCACTTCAACGGTGCCGTTAGTGGGGCAGGAAGCCCACGGCAAAGGATACTGAAATCATATAAAAATTGGAGATGTATAAATTTATTTCCTTTTTTAAAATAATCGCATTGAATGCATTAACTTACTCGGAAACTGTTAAACAGGTAAAAGAACACCCACGTTATAATCACGTTATAATACAAGGCGACAAACAATGTAACAATACATGACGATATACCAATACCACCTAGCCAAGGGTGTATTGTGTTCCACACACCAAGTGCACCCAGCCGCATTCGCTGACCAATGCCCAGTTCAATCAGAAATAAAGGCACTCCTTCTAAAATTAACATCACCATGAAGGGTATCAGGAAAGCACCTGAAAAGATAAATTGGTAAAAAAAAAACTTTAAAGTAACAAAATTGTGTACACACCTACACAAATAAACATGTGAGCATACATACTTATCGAAATACTTATAAAAGTCATCCGAATTATAAAATACTAGCAGAGCACCCGACGTCGTTCGGGGTAAACAAATGAAAATATAAAACAGTAATACAAATATTCAGTTCAGCATAATTTAAAGGAGACAAACTATTTTCTTTGTTTACATTAAGGCATCCTTATGAGCCATACTTTTAGCTTTACCGTGCTTTAACTAAACGATATAATCTTTCCATCTCAAAAAAATCTAAAGACGGTAAAGTTTAAAAAAAAACACACAGTTTTATATATCCGAGTTATCTAATAGATGAAAACATATATGTATATCCCCATTTTGCATACTCATTTATATATACTTTACTCTGAACACCTACCACACATGCATATGTACCCATACCAAATTGCAAGTTCATGTGACTATGGTTCCCAATTTATGGCTGATTAAAAGTTCCACGTCTATGCTCCACGTTCCCTTTTACAAACTCATGTATACAAACCTTACTATAAGCTCCTACCATGGATATGTATTCATACCAAAGTTCATATTCTTGTGAATTATAGGTCCGAAGTTGTAGCTGATACAAAATTTCAGGCCTGTGGGATGTGACCCTTTCAAAAACCTTCACACCAAATTTCAAGTTCATGTGACTTGTGGTTCCGAAGTTAAATCTGTTAAAAATGGCACGCCCATGCGATGTGTCATGCCCTCCTGCACAAACTCATTTCTATACACCCTGCTATAAGCACTTAAAGACTGGTACAGAAAGTTCTGCAAATTTTGAACCCGCTACAAAATGTTTAGCAATGACATAGTAGGCTCTGAATAAATTGCTTTCAAACTGGTGTTTCATTACATTTTCAAAAGTATGTTAGTTTCTGCAGTCAAAGCATTACAAAGGAAAAAATTAATACGAACGAAGAGCTCCGAAAAAAAATTCTGTACGTTTGGACGAATACTCCCCATATTAGTTACAAAAAATTGGCGAAACTCACTGGATCAACTTATGACACTGCACGAAGGACGGTTTTGCGCATTAAGAAAGGTGGCTCAGTGAAGGACAAGCCGAGAAGTGGCCGCCCAAATGGATCAGCAGACGCCCAGTTGGAGAAGAAGGTAATAGCCATAATTAGGAAGAACCGCTCCATGTCAACAAGAGATATCGTCATAAGAGCTAAAACCACGCATGTGCAGGTCACTCGAATCAAGAAAAGAAGTGGTATCAAAACTTATAAAAAGAAAAAAGTTCCAAAACTAAGCGAAAAACAAGCTTCAAAAAGTGTTTCCCTTGCACGTAAGTTGTATGAGACACAACTGGCAAACAAAAATTTTTGTGTGATTATGGACGACGAAACTTATTTGAAAGTGGACTTGACATTGCCGGGTAACCAATTTTACTGCCTGGAGTCTGGAGAAAACATTTCTGATTCGGAGAAACCATCCAGATAGAAAAGTTTGGTAAAAAGTTCTAATTTGGCAAGCCATATGTGAATGCGGGCATAAATCCACGCCATTCTTCACTATGGGAACCATCAACACTGATTTACGTGAAAGAGTGTCTTCAAAATCGTCTTCTGCCCTTCCTACGTCATCATAATGGCCAAATTATGTTTTGGCCGGATTTGGCTCCAGCACATTACGCTAATATCACCCAAAAGTGGTTCGAAGATAACAATGTGCATTACGTGAGGAAAGACTTGAATCCACCTAATGTGCCTGAGTTGCGACCAATTGAGCGATATTGGGCTCTGATGAAAGCCAAACTTTTAAAAATGGGGAAACCAACAAAAACTATTTCAGAAATAAAAAGAATGTGGCGGACAGCATCGCTAAAAGTGGACAAAACCGTTGTACAAAACTTGATGTCAGGTCTCTCCAGTCATGTCCATTTTTACAAACTAATTTATATACAGTACTAGCAGAGCACCCGACGTCGTTCGGGGTAGTTAAATCAAAATATAAAACAGTAATACAAATATTCAGATCAGCATAAATTAGAGGAGAAAATCTATTTTCTTTTCTTTTCTTTCTAAATTATGGCATCGCTATAAGCCATACTTTAAGATTTATCGTACTTTAACTAATATATATTGGTCACCACTTTCTTTACTAAAAATCTTGTTCCCTTATTTATATTAGCTGGATTAAGGTAACGATAGAATTTTAAAATTAAAATTAGTCCGCTATGGTACATTCCGTTTAGCTTCCTATTCGTTTAGCTGCTTTAGGGCCGGTTACTTAATGTCTGCTTAACACTAATCTACGGTTAAACGTCGTTGTCGACCTCTTCGACTCCATGCATACAACAGGGATTCGGTAACGTCGATAACTATGTTTAAGCGGAGATTAGTGTTAACCAAACATTGAGTAACTGGCCCTTAGTATAGCTGCATTTTTCCTGTAGAATGCTTATTTCAGAAAAAGTTGTATTCATTATACATGCACATGTTTCGTTTAACAGCATCGCGGGATCAATAAAATGATTTAATCCTTCCATTTCAAGAAGGTCTAAAGACTGTAAGGTTTCAAAAAACACAGTTTTAAATATCAGAGTGGTCTAATAGTTGAATACATATGCATCCCCCTTTTACAAACACATTTATATATACTTTATTCTAAACACCTCCCATACATATGTCTGCATACCAAATTTCAGGTTCATGTGACCAATGGTTCCCAATTTATGGCTGGTTAAAAATTCCACGCCTATGGGATCTGACACGCCCCCTTTTATAGACCCATATATCTTACTATAAACACCTACCAAAGATATGTCTGCATACCAAATTTCAATTTCATGTGACTTATGATTTTAAAGTTATAGCTGATAAAAAACTTCCACGCCTATGTGATGTGCCACGCCTCCTTTTAAAAACTCACTTATATATATCATTTTATAAGCGCCTACCATATCTATACCTGCATATCAAATTTCAAACTCGTGGGGCTTATGGTTCCGAAGTTATAGCTGATAAAAAAAACCACGCTTACGGGATGTGCCACGGCCCCTTTTATAAACTCATTCATATACACCTTACTATAAGCACCTACCGTAGCTGAATCTGCGTACCAAATTTCAAATTCATGGAGATTATGGTTCCGAAGTTATAGCTGATAAATATTCCACGCCTATGGGATGTGCCACGCCCTCTTTTACAAACTCATTTATATATACCTTATTATAAGCGCCCGCCATAGATATGTCTGCATCCCAAATTCAAAGTGCATGTGACTTATGATTTCGAAGTTATAGCTGATAAAAAATTCCATGCCTACGGGAGGTGCCATGCCCCCTGTCGAATCCCGATTTTTTCTCCCTGTCATAGACCCGGGTGTCATGGCAATAATCTGTCTGTTATTTCGTTCGATTATGTCCGTCCGTTTAGGCTGCAATCTGGCACATACATACATACTTCCACAAATATATAGCAGATATCTATCCTTCTCTTAGCGTAAAATAATTTTTGGGGATATCTCGGCCACAGGACCACCTATCGTGTAATTGTTTAGTCCAAGTATTCCTTTTCAATCGACTAACTTATGTTCAAAATATGAGCCAAATCGGCAAGTAAATGCAATTTTTAAAAATATCCTGACCCCAGCGCCTCCTAGCGAGTAAATTTTTGGTAGAAATATTTCTTTTCATGGTACTGATATATGTTCCAAATATGAACCAAGTTAAGTAGTTAAGTTATTGACATTCAATATACGGAAAACTCTATGAAATTGTGAAATCGTGACGTCCCAGCATTCTTCATTTTTCGGCAACAACAACAAAAAGTCTCAAATTTTTTTTAATTGAAAAACCTTCCACACAGTAGGTCCAGTACAGAATTGAAATCGGTTCATCCGTTTGGTCAGGCATCGCGGTCATACATATGCATATGTATGTATATGTATATGTATGTACATTTACGTATTTGTAGAAAAAATCATATGTCATCATGTACTTCTTTTTTATATCATACATGCAAAATCTTGCCTAAATCCGTTCAGTAGCGTGGTTAAAATATCTCGCCTTTCCTTTATACTATATATAGAAGATAGTAATTTTAAATAGGAGGCAACCCTACTCAAAAAACTTTTGTACATACGAGGGCCATGCAATTTCATTTGGCATCTCATGTTTTTATCCAACGTGAGGGTGGCAACCCTACTCAGCAAAATAATACATTATTACACATCCAGAGGCTAAGTATTTTCATTTGACAGTGACGGTGCAGAACTGACGCCTACGCTTATTAGAATTGGATATAGTAATTTTCTTAACAGGAGGCAACCCTATTAAAATTCTAAATTAAAAAGGTCACTCTCCTATCAATACAGAATATATTAGAGAAAATCACGTCAGAATCCGTTCAGTAGTTTTCGAGATTACCGCTTACAAAGAATCTCGACTTTCCTTTAAACTATATATAGATGTATATACATACATATATTCAAATTAGCGAGGGAGATAAGAGGAAAGAAATACGCGAAGAAACTAAACAAAAACATCGTAGTAAGAGTATTTTATTTGAACTTTGTGCTTCAAATATTTTTGACTGAACACTTAAGAGCAATTTAGTGGGTGTATGTACATACATACATATGTAGATACTAAAGTACGTGTACATATGTTCGTGAACTTAATGAAATATAAACATCAAAGTAGGCTCAGCTGATTTATAAATTCTGTATCTCACTGAAATCCCAACAAACGTAGTCTATGTACATACATGCTCAGATATGCAAACCAAAAAAAGCATCAGCTCCTTAAGCTTTTTTGAAAACAGCCTTCACGTATTATATGTTAGTTATTAATTTTTAAATAGGTGGCAGCCCCATTAAAAAAATAAAAGCTTATCCGGAGACCATATTCTTTCACTTGTTATCTCATTTTTTAGTCCAATGAACTTTGAAAATCTTATTATTTTTAGAAAGGTGGCAACCT